TCGCGGGAAACAGGCCGTGTGACGTCATTATGCATAAGGTCTAGTACATACCCTTGTTTTAGATTTCTATTTTTTGTGTGCAAAACCACGAACATCAGTTTAAATCGTTTTTTAAAAACATCGGAATTATTGGCTTATCGCGATTAACTGCCTCACCGAAATGGGCAATCCTCATTTTGCCAACAGTTAGCCAGTCTGGGCTACTCGTAGCCTATCGAAGGGAAGATGGCTGTGAAACTTGCTAGAATAACAATATAACTCATTATCTATGTTAATAGTCAACGTTTATTCATAAATCCACCAATAGTAATTTCCAATTTACCGTTGATATATTGTTCGAGTCACGGATAAGTTGGGCAAAAATACAATACACACTTGACGCTGAAGGACCAGATTTATGAATGAACGTTGACTAACATAGATAATGAGTTATATATATATATTATAATGAGTTTCACAGCCATCTTCCCTTCAATAGGCTATGGAGTATGGGCTACTTCAAACCTTTTTTAGAGCTATAAAGTACAAAATAGCAGACGGTGGTGAAAACATTATTGCTATATATGCACTATTTAAAATATTCATCTCACGGAGAGAAATCTCCTTTGATGTAATGTACATTGTATGTAACATATTTATATAAATTAATGACAAGAACTTATTACTTTGTGAACTGTATGAGTTAGAAATAAATAAACTCGATAAATTTATATGCAGTTCAGAATATGTCTTCCTTCGGGTAAGGGCGAAAAAAATATAAATTTTATGGTCTATAGTTTCCCCGTGGTGTTCATGCCAAAATTTTCACTGCACAAACCAAATAAGTTTCTCCTGCTTTTTCGACTCTTTGTCGCCATTTTGAATTGCTTATTGTCGAACTTTGGGCGAACAAACCCAGAGTAGTTTGTAATAACGAGTGTAATAACTACCCAATGCCCCCTCCCCGGTTCCGCGGCCTCTACATATTGTCTGAGCATTTATGTCGAATATAAAGAATTCTATCAATCTACCCGTCTTGTTTGCGTCAAAGGTGAAGTTCGAAACACTCATCCTACCTCAAGTCAGGGGCGTAAATGTGGGGGGTGTAGGGGGGTGGTTCACCCCCCCAGAGAAATGATCCAGTCGGTCTCAAACTAAGTGCAGTCGGTCTCAAAATTATGCGTTTGTTTACATGCAGCAGCAGTGCTTTGCGAAGCAAATTAAATATTTTCGAAACTCGAGATAGACTCAAACTATTGAGTATTGAGATGGAAATTTGCTCAAACGGATCAAACAGCTCAGAAATAATATGAAGAAATATTACGTACTTATTTCGCGAGTTTATGAACGAATTATCAGTCAAAACACGCGCAAAGGGATGAAGTTTTCATTTACTTTCCAAACATGGGTATCTATATGTCACGATTACGTGTTGGCACTTTTATTTGGAATTTAGGTTCAGCATAGTTAAGCAAGGTCATTCACGGGTGATATTCTGCCCTCCCCCCCTAAATAGCGCCTGTTACGCAGGCTAGTGATATTCTATATTAGCGAAAATTTCAAACCCCCAAAATCAGACTCCAAAATGCGACGAATCTCGATCAAAATAGCTAACATTAGTTACAATATTTCTCCGGTCCCTAAACTATATTTTTAAGATGCAAAGTGCAAAAACAGATTTCTAGCCGAGTTATATTAGGAAGTATGTTCACATGTAACACGATACGCATATGCATTTTGTTACCAAAGAGTTTTATGTGCTCACTGCAATCAAGAAATTCGATCATTGAACGACGCACTGGTTTATCTGAAATCACGGAGCGAAAAATTGTTTCCACTGACTAGGCGATGTTTCCAATTGTTGCTTACAGTCAGGCCCATAACTAGGTATACGAGTCAATCGAATTCAAGTTCAATGACAGACTGTAGTTCTCTCCATGTAAAGAAGCATTATTCTTGCCCTACAGTGACGTAAGAAATGGGAGGCTGTGTGGGTGCACAAGTACCCCAATAACAAAAGTGCGGGCCAGCGCCCAAATATTACAACAATTGAGCACAAACACTTTTTTTTATGCACCTGATCAATGATGTTCGACCAAAAATATTTGTAATTCTTATCCTCAGGATTGGGGGCAAACTACAGTATAAAATTATAGTCATTGTGTCACTGTTTATGAAATTGATTTTTCATTTGAACTGCTCCCAGAATGCAGGAAATAGCGTTTCTAAGCCTTAGAAAATCAAAAATTTTCTGGGGGAGCATGCCCCCAGACCCCCCCTAAGGGATGTGTCTCGGTCAATCAAAAATCCTATAGTTGCGTGCCTGACAGTTCCTGTAACATCCGCATCAGCCGAGCGCAGCTTTTCATAGCTGAAATCAGTGAAAACTGTCATGCGTTCAGAAATAAACCAGGAACGCCTTGGTGAACTCTTGACTCTTGCGTGTGAGCGCAATCTAACAGACACGATCGATCTTGACGAAATCGCTAATCCGTGGTCAAACCTGACTAAGCAGTAAGCGCAGACACTTAATAAAAATATAACGTTTCACAGCAAACTGTACGTGTTCTTGCAAGATTCCTAATAAATGCCATCAATTTCCATGCTTTGTACTCGATTTATTGCAACACACCAACTCACCAAGAGTCGGTCTGGATTCGCATTTCAGTGGTGGGTCGGTCTCATTTCGTGATTACACCCTCCCAGTCAAAATCGATATGTCCGCCCCTGCCTCAAGTACAGATATCCACTCTATTGCTACGCGAAGCCAAGAGCCTACAATATTAGGTCCTACCTGACCAAAATACAACATTCTAGAAACGTTTTCACAGCGTAATGTAATAGCCAGACTTAATTATTGCACAAACTTTTTTTGCCCACTTATATACAGATCTATAAACGGCTGCATGGGTATACGTAGTTTTTAGCCTGGTTTCCATATTTTCGCAACTGTCGGGAACGTGTTGTAACTGTCGTCAGAGTAGTGTTCGCGACCAAATGGAAACACGAAGAATTAAAAGTCTTGTCGCGACACGTTGGCAACAGATCACGACAGTTACAAGAGTGTCGTCGAGATATGCTCGAGTTATATCTCGACGACAGCATGTGACCGGCTAAAAACATGTCTTGATGGTTATGTTACGATAGCGTGGTAACAGTTTTGCGACAATCAGGGGGGGGAGAAGGCAAGGGTCCCCGAAATTAACTTGCGACAGTGTCACGACACCATATGGAAACAAGCATAAAAATCATTCACGACAAATACTTCACGACATGTTCGCAACAGTACAACCATATGGAAACCAGGCTTCAAGAAATCCTCAGAGAACACAAAGACAGTTAGAGAGTCGTCAATAAGACATTTTAATGAGATTTCTTTGTTTAATCCGTTGGATGCCAAATATATACTCTCCCCTTGATGAGTAAAATCGTCTGGCATAATCAGACAGAGTGTAATATAAGAAAGTAGGGCTATTAGGATACAATGCCACTTAAAGGGTTAAATGCTTTCCATGTGCATTGAACTGGAAATAGTGTAGGAGGAATTAATGTGTGCATACAATGACTACAATGTGCTACCTTTTCATTAATTAATTAAATCATAGTTACTAGTACATATTAACTAGAATTAAATACAGGGGCCGGTTGAAAACTCTTAATCACTTTTTTAATCACTATTTTGTAGTTAAATTTGGAATGTTCATGTGGGTATGAACCAGCCATTTTGAAAAATATTTTTGCTAGGGGACTGCAGTCCTACCCCCCTCTCCAATAGCTTCTTGGTCCGGCAGTTTGTACTATAATTAAACGTTTGGCAGATTGTACTGAAAAATTCGGCAAGTGCAAAAGCGGCGTGCATTGATAATTTTGGCAATTGGAAGATATATATGCCATAGTTTTGGCACGAGCATTGAGCAAATTTTCGGCCGCCCCGACACGACAAAAACCTTCTAAAGCTTCCACAAAACCCTTCTGCAATTTAGTTATCGATTGTAGATGGCCAAGATCCTGATGTTTTAATGAAAGCTGGTCTGGATAATTTGTCTTTAAAAATTTCATCCCGCTTGTAGCCCGGACAACTTTCTTATTTTGACATTGTTTTGACTGACAGTTGTTGAAAATAGCCTTCTTCAAAGGAGGAATAGCTCGGTCACATATTATATAGATATTGTTGTATTTCTAATGTCATAGTGTGTGGCTCGGTCGTCCATAAAGCCAGTGGCGTAACACTGAGTGTAACACTCATATCACTCAATGCCGGGGAGGGTTAGTAAAAACTAAGGGCCCCCGACAGTTATAGGGGGCCCCATCATCCACGGCCTATCCCAAAGAAAATTAGAAAACGTAAAAAATGCAGGTTAAGACTCAATGGGAAAACGCAAAATTAATAATGCTAAATAATAAAGCCTCCATTACATCGACAACGGTAGCTATCTCAAATAAAACAAAAGTTAATTATTCTTATTAGTTACATTTTTTCTGTGTTGGTGTTGTGTACTCAAGTGAATATGATGTTTGTGATGTTACTCTGAGTGTGTATCCACACCGGGTAAGCTTGAAAGATATGCCTGGCCACGGTGGGAGTCGAACCTACGACCATTGGAATACTAGCCCAATGCTCTGCCAACTGAGGTACGCGGTCAGGTCGGTTCGACTATGTGGTATTTCGGAACTAAGTCTAGTTCCTTCCATATCAATGGAATCTAGTAATCATGATTTTTTCTGTGTTGGTGTTGTGTAGTGAATATGATGTTTGTGATATTACTTTGAGAGTGTATCCACACCGGGCATGCAAGCTTGGAAAATATGCCTGGCCACGGTGGGAATCGAACCTTTCAACCTATGACCATTGGAATACAAGCCCAATGCGGCAATGCTCTTCCAACTGAGCTACGCGGTATTGTAATTGTTGTTGTTATAGACACGGAATTTTCCAGAACATTCTATAAATATTCAATATAAATATAATATCTCAGTCAAACAATGACAACAGTCAACAGGGCCCCATCCGTGAGCGGCTTCCAGGGTGAGATTATAAACGGCCCCTAATAATCGTCGTACATGAAGTACATGCTTCTCGCATGAAATGCCATTCATGCAAACACAGAATTTAAAACATGCAACCAAACGCGCAACGTTTGCTTGGATACTGAAGCGAAAATGTTATTTCAAGAAGGAATCAAGATGACCAATGTATAATCCCTGACGTTATTGTTATGGACAACGTCTGAGAAAGATTCGTGAATTATCTAGCGGCCTAGAAACATTGTCATATCTAGTTGTCACTCGAGCAGACGGCACGCTGTGATGTGATCTGTTGACAATGAAATCATGACATTATGAAGTTAACATTTGCATTTCCTGCTGTTTATCAATATATTTTATGAATACGGGAATTGTGACTGGTTAAATGATAGCTTCCTTGGAGCAAAATGGGGCAAGAGAGTAGCAAGTTGTTGTCCAAACGCCGTGTTGAACAGGTCGAGAAAGTTAATCTGTTATGCAAAGAAAACCAAGCTGCTATGAAATGTAAGTTAACTCAATTGTGATTTCGTAAAGGGTCATTCCATTTATTATCCGCACCCCCCCTATGGATGAGCGGATTCCTACCGGTCAGATATTAGGACTTAGGGGATTCCTACTGGTCAGATATTGGGAATTAGCAGATTCCTTCGGCCCGATTCCTACCGGTCAGATATTGCCGTCGAGGTGTAGCATACTATATTGCCAAATATTTATTATGAGAATCATAATCATTCCATTTATTATCCTCACCCCCCCCCCGGTCTGACATTGGGAATTAGCAGATTCCTACCGGTGAGATATTGGCAATTAGCAGATTCCTACCAGTGAGATATTGGCAATTAGCAGCATTCCTAGGGTTTAGATTGATACTGTCGATTCCAACAGGGTACTTCTCTGAAATCCGATTCCTACAGGTAACATTTTTACCAGAGCTCATCCATAGGGGGGGTGCGGATAATAAATGGAATGACCCAAATTCGTAATATATTGTAGTCCAGGATGTTTTGGTTTTTAACAAAGTCATCTAAATTGCAAAATGATTATTGTTTTGATCCTTTTGACAATTGATACCAGTACAGTTAATACAATATGCCCCTTTTGACCCTTTCATATGATAAACCAGGGTCTTAGCTAGAGGGCCGTGTTGGCCGTGTTATCGCGGGCAAAAATGGAAAAACACGGCTAGATAAAATGAACACGGCTTCGTTATTTATATAAGGCCGTGTAGGTTCATAAAATAAGATGGTGCTTCTTACAAGAGACAGAATTTCTTCCTATTTACGTCGTAAGAAAGTTTGTAAAATCTACTGTAATTTTTTGAAATTGGCAAAAGTGATCCGTAATGTTTTAATGTTTTGATGGATAATGGGAACCATATGGTGTTAACATGGCTTTAAATACCCCCAAGAGTTGCTGAAATAACTTACTATAATTTCAATGTCAGTACGCGATGTGAGCGTATGCTCGCCTTGTATTTGGTTGCAAAGCATACAACAACCACAGGCATTGTCTGTTGTTGGCGAGCATAACTAGTACCGTGAATTTGGCCGTCCAAGGTAATTGACATGGGCACACCCTGGTCATTTAGAAACACGCCCAAGATCTAAAATCCTAGCTAAGACCCTGTGATAAACTGATATGATTGATCCAATTAATTGCCTTCTTGATATATCCTTGTTCATGTTGCGACACATAATGTTGAATCCATGTTATGAGTGGGTATAAAAAATTAATATACATGTATGTGGGTTTTTATATTAGCCTGCAAGTCAATGTGGTAATATTTAATTCTTACCCAAAAAGAACCGTGGTTATCCATGGCACAGAATACTATACAGAAGTCCATCTCCATGGTTTTTTGCGTAAGCGCTATTTGTCACTTAGCAAGTACCGTAAACAAAAACAATCTCCCCCCCTAGAAATACTCAAAATGGGGCACATGCAGGGGTGACCCAGCACTTCTGTTTATGGTACCGGTACTTGCTGAGTGACAAATCATGACGAATAGTGCTTACGCAAAAAAACAATGGAGATGGACTTCTGTATAGTATTCTGTGTCCATGGTGTACTGGAAGGACATAGCAAATGGATATCATGACGGGCAAGTAAACGTTTTTATCTTGCTTTTACAAGCCCGATTGGGCAAGTTGCCTTGCCACAAAAAACTGGGCATCTTTAAGTTTAATGTTTTCATTGTCGGATAATTTTTTTGTAGTGCATGTACTTACATAGCCATGTAGAGCACTGGGGGAACAGGTCGACATGTTGTCTCCTTAAATTATACCCCATACCTAGGTACAGTACTGCCAAGAAATAACTCATCAAAAGACGTGGGTATCCTGCGTCCACTGTGCGTCTATAGGCGCCCATGGGTGCATCCGTCCTGTGGGGTCCGTCGTACGTCCACTATGTGTTTGCGGGTGCATCCGATGTGCTGGCACTATGCGTCCGCTTTGCGTCTGCAGGTGAGGACGCAGCTGAGAAAGAGTTCTCTTCGTAGATCGTCTTTGTCTAATTTGTTTTGAAGCTATAAACAAGCTATATAGTGGCTCGAGTCGTAATGATATTTTATATGAAAAATGAAAAGCACTACGTATATATTGTAATAACCATCTTCAATTTAATACACTGACGAGTTATGGAGGCATAACTTTACTCAAATACAAAATTGCATATCAGTTAATTGGCAATCTTCTACGGAGGTATGTCAGAAAATGAGTAGCAAATTAACGTGTGAGATATATACTTGTTGTAGTCGTGATCTCACTGAGTTCATATGTGTTTATATTATACTTAAATATATATAGTTTATGTCCATAAATATTAGTTCATGTCTGCAAATATTAGTTCGTTTTTCCGATTATGTTACGACCACTGCGTCCAAGCGGACACAGTTTGTTGAGGCAGGACACAGGCAGAGTGGACGCAAGATGCGGGTGCTCTGGAGGCAGGACCCGGGCACACGTGGGGTTAAGTTATTTCTTGGCAGTACTGTACCCCAGTGGCCATTGTCTGATGGCAAGTTAATTTTATTCAGGGCAACTATGTCCAACTTGTCCTGAGGGCAAGTGGTCAAAAAAGTAAAGTTACACTACTGACATGCATAAGACACATCCGCATGCAGGTTGATTTACCCTTTCCATCTTGTTTGCCTGTTGTCACAGTCCGCCTGGAGTGAGAAAAACTTTGGGGACAAGATTGGTGGGATAAACCCCCTAAAAAACAAGATATCTTGATTGTGAGTTAATCTCATTAGCCAGAATCTGGCTAGATCATGCCTGTATAATATTTAGTTTTTTTGCAGGCAGCCAAAAAAATTTGCAGCTTGCCGTGCATGGTCCAAACTTGCCTGCTTTGCTACCGAAGAAAGTTTTTTGAGTTATTGTCAAAATTGAGTGTCTGCTAATCTGCTCAAACCCATTATTTGTAATAATATTCCATGAACGGAAATCAAGTAAGCTGACAACACCAGTACACCACTGTTCAAAGAAAAATTTCTGATGGCATCATTTGATAAATTTGCTCAGTAAATATTGCAAAATATATTCAGAAAAATTGAAATTTTCTACTTAATTTCTACTTAAGCATGCATGAGACCTTCTGAACAAGGATTGCAGTTAGCTTCAGGCACTTGCAGGTAGCACCGCTACCTAGTGTAGGATCCCAATATCTGACAGGCATGGCCAAGATAATTATAAAAAATATTCGGCTATATGATATTGTTTACTGTACTTAAGGTTCAGGCCTTCTTTTCATACTAAAAATGCATGATGTAATATGGTTTAAAAAGTACACTTTTGTTAATGATTTATTTATTTATTTAATATTAACTTTGCCATCATCATATGTATAGAATGGCTGGCCTGGAAACCACAACAACTATTGCCAATAGACCCTTTGCACTGACGTCACAAATCCTTAGAGTGTCCTCCAGAATCCAGATGCTCCCTAACAGTATCTGTTCGGGTACAACAACCACATACAGTGCAAAAATTTACCATTTTAACACAAAATTGTTATAAACTTTTAAAAGTTATTATTATGCATAGATTGCTAATTTGTCCTCCAGATGCATCGTCACCGGCGCTGTGACGTCGTGTGCAGTGGGTCTATATACCTTTCCCCTTGTGAGTGAGATTTTGATCTATAGATATGCCTGCATGGACAAAAAGTTCATAACAGCTTGAAAGAGCATCACAAAATTAGTAATATTCCGAAGTTTCGTTGCGAAATGTTGTAAAATGCGGATAATATAGCCTTGCGAAGTTTGCCGTTTTTCAGTCATTTTGTATTACAAATGGGAAATTGATAATCAGTTTGATCATCTGATTATCAAATATCAATTTCCCGTTTGTAATGCAAAATGACTGAAAAACGGCAAATTTCGCAAGGCTATATTATCCACATTTTACCACCTTTCACAACGAAACTTCGGAATATTACTAATTTTGTGATGCTCTTTCAAGCTGTGATGAAATTGTTGTCCAGACTTGTCTACTTAGATCAAAATTTCACTCAAAAGGGGAAAGGTCTATTACTGTAGCCCAATAGTACAGACACAAATAATATAGTTATTAAGGCCTGAACCTTACTGTAGATAACCAATATCAGTATTTGGCTGGATAATCCAGTTGGATATTTTTCACCTATCCTGTGTATCCGCGATCTAGCCAGATTGATAAAAAATCGGCTCTATCCAGTGCACCTATACACAAGATTTAAACTCAAAAGAATTTCCCTACAATGACTAAAGTTATCATGTGGGATAAATGTGATTGATAAACTAGCAGTCGAAGGTGAATGCACTGTACAAGTAATAACTTTGATTCTGGGCTCGAAGTAGAGAACAAAATATGGCCTGCCAGTCTAAAATTTTTTGGCAGGTGAAATAAATTTTTAGCCTGCCATTTTTATTCATTGAACTGCCAAAATGGCGATATGTCTAATATGAGTCATATTGTAAAATCAATGTTTTCACGACATGCATTTTTTATTATTTTTAAACTTGTCTGTTTTACTATAGTAAACTTGGATTTACATTTCAAATATAAACGTATTTAGTCAACTAAATGATCTAGTATATATGAGTTGTGGTAAGCAAATGAAATGAAATATAATTTATCTAAATAAATAGAATTTCACCTGCCATTTTTTTTATTACTTCAGTGAAGTTGGCAGTTCAAATTTGTTTTGGCCTGCCATTTCTAAAATATTGCCTGCTTTTGGCCATCATGGCAGCCCGCTACTTCGAGCCCTGCTTTGATTCATTATTATATGCGTGACAAGATGTCAATATGGACATGGCCGCTATATAATTGTTTTACAAAGCTGGTTACAGATGAGCGAATTTTTTATGAGAAACATTGAAATTTTCATATGGCAGATTTTATTCACTTGTTTGATTCATTATGCTACTGCAGGGCTTAAAAAATAAATCCGAAAATAAATGCGGTGCGAGGTCGTACATGTACGTTCTGTACTATTAAGTTGACGTACGTTTAATCGATGTTGATGTACGATTTTTCACACTAGTTTTCGTATTAAATTCCCGTATAAAAATACGTTTGAAATGCTGGATTTAAACGACGTAAACAAAAATGGCGGTCCAGGATTCGAGCAGTGAACTCAATGTTTCCAGATCAATGTTTCATGTTTGATTGTTATAAATAAATGGATATTTCAGGATCAGGGTTAGAGGCGAATGTTTGTTCATTGTCTGAAGGATTTTAAGGCAAACAGAAAGAGTTAACGGTTCAGCTCTGCAGTAGGACGTGTACGCGATCGTACTTATTATACAATTACTTTATGGTTTCCGTGTTTGGATGGCCTGAATTGATCCAAACACGCGAGAATGTTGGGAGAGTTAAGAAAAGCGCGTGAAATCACGAACCGAAGGCGAGTGATTTTGCGTGCTTTTCTTAACTCGAGCAACATTCCCAAGTGTTTGGATCAGGCCATCCAAACACGGAAACCATAAAGTAATTGTTTTATAAAATAACAACTTTCCGTGTTAAAATTTCACTTTAAAAAACTTTCACTTTGAATTTCTGTGTTTGGATGGCCTGATCCAAACACGGGTTTCGACCAAACAGAGCACGCGTTATATACATGTTATTTTATAACTGAAATTCTTGGCGTACACAAAGCCAATTTCGGCGTACAATCGTACGTCCGTACGCCTATTTTTTAAGCCCTGGTTACTGAGCTTTTGGACACATGTACATGTCATAGATGAAATTTGCCAACTGAATGCACAAAGTTTGCTCGTCTGTATGGGTTAACAACAAAGCTTGTCAAAGTAAATTGAGCACTTTTGATACAGTTGATCAGTTATCTAATTGCTTGCAGTACCTATCGTAGTTAATTTGTTGTATGCACACATAGGCAACTGGCAAATAAACTTGCCAGATGAAAACTTATACATATAATACAGTATGAAACTAGTTTTTCATACAGTATCTCTGAGGATTGTACTTGTCATGGAAAACTTAACCAGCTTAAGCATAAACAACTTAGATTTGACGTGAATTTTTTATTATCCATTTGAAAGAATCGTTAAAACTGTTATCATCTTGTACAGAATTTGGTTTATGCGCTTCCTTGGTGAGATAATTCGGTTTTCTTACTATGCAGTGGAAATGAATGATTTTGCGTCAATCTGTGCATAATCAGTGATGGTTTTAAGTATCAGTTGTCTTTTCTTTTGTGGATTAAATCACTTGAGATTGCGCATACCCTGTACATTGTTTTATGAATACAACGCATGAGCATGACCTTTTCCAAATGATTTGTTGGTTAAGAGCAGCGCATTATACATAGTTTAACGTAAATTCGGTTCTACTGCATATCAAGAAAACTGACTTTTCTCACCAAAAGGAAGTTACTTTAAAGTTCTGACGATTCTTTCAAACGGGACAATAAAATTTGCGCACCCTATCACCGTAAGAGTTGTACAGCATGGATCAATTAGTTCATTTGTAGTTCAATCAAGATTGTGAACTGTTTCTAATTCTAATCGTATTTTATGTTTAGTGAGTACTTCCAAAATCGATACATTGAAGCAACTGTATCACAGACTGGCAGCTCTATCTCCAGATGATGAATACATTGACAAGCAAACATTGTAAGTTAGTCGTTTAGGGACCGGTCGTTATTTATGGCGGGGGTGGCACCGAAGAGAATTGTTTTTCGTAGGAAAAATTTTGCTGACCCAACCATTAAAAAGTCAAAACATTTGATCACCCAACTTCAAATATCAATTAAGAAATAAATACCCACCCCTGGCCAAAAACTTTTCAAAAGGATACCAGTCAGTTGTCACACATGTCCTTCACCATGACATGAGTTTACAACGGCTTGTGAAAGTTTCTGCAGTCCAAAGGTTCATGTTGTCTGCACATGTAGTTTCTTTGGAGACATCATTTGTCTCCCAGCAAATCAGAAAATTGTTAAGATAGTGACTCTGATTGATTCACATATTGTATTTACATATGACTGTTGACATTGCTTTTTAGTCTCCAATATTTCAGTGAGTCATGCTTTGGAAATGACAATATATTAATTTTTATTACCCTAACCCTTCAGTTGTTTTGTTTTTCATTTACCCAACCTTTCACTAACAGACTAACGCAAAATTTTGTTTACCCAACCCTTTTCTCTTCGGTGCCACCTCCCCCCGCCGCCATAAATAATGACCGCTCCCCTAGTTTGGGCCATTCTATTTAAAATGTAGACCCTCCTTTAGCGGATGCGCACTAAAATTTTTTAAGAAATCTTTTTCTTACTTCCCTCGAGAAATTTCGGAAATTTACCCTTTATTAATTGAAACTTTCTTGCTAACCCTGCCGAAATAAGGCTTTTGTTTGAGTAACATACACTCCACTCGCGAGTACTTAGCGAGTACGCGTAAGTCACTCGCGAGTGCTCGTTCGACTCGGAAATCTTATTAAAGGGATATGGCAATATAAATTAAGTTTGCCTTATTTGAAAGAACATTTAAAATGATATATAAACTTCCTTTACAATTATTCCGTATCTTGCTTGGTTTTCGAAATAAATCGACTTATTTTGATCAAAAGCAGCGTGCATTCCGCCATCTTGGATATGCATGCGATATGCATACGTCACAAGTAGAGTGTAAAGCGAAATGTTTATCTTGCAAACCACATGTCATTATCAATATGAAACTCGATTTTCCGAAGTTTTTTTAGTACTTAATGGACCATTTGCATTATAGACTAAATTTTGATCTAGAAAAAAATTTCATCACAGCTTGAAAGAGCATCACAAAATTAGTAATATTCCAAAGTTTCATTGCGAAATGTTGTAAAATGCGGATAATATAGCCATGCGAAGTTTGCCGTTTTTCAGTCATTTTGAATTACGCACGGGAAATTGACAGCCAATCGGGTGTTGGGGCATCAATTTCCCGTTTGTAATACAAAATGACTGAAAATTGCAAATTTCGCAAGGCTATATTATCCGCATTTTACAACATTTCGGAACGAAACTTTGTAATATTACTAATTTTATGATGCTCTTTCAAGCTGTGATGAAATTTTTGTCTAGATTAACTCACAACATTTTAAGAAACTTTTCGAAGGAATTTAGTCCCACATGAAGAAGTTTTAACAAGTTTACCCTGCTTGTGACGTCATCTCAGTTAATTAGGTCAATTATAATACCAGTATGGCGGACTGCACACTGTTTTTGGTCAAAATATTTCGAAAACCAAGCAAGGTACGAAAAAGTTGTAAAAGGTCTTCATATATAACTTTAAAGTTCTTTCCAAGAAGACAAAGTTAATTTTTATTGCCATTATCCCTTTAACAAAATATACTGGTTTCACTCGCACTTAATAAATCACTCGCGAGTACTGTATATCGAGTGTATGCGATTCTAAAACCGGTTTATCCTAGCGAAGTATAAACGAATACATGAAATCAGCATAAACAAAACCATATTTTTTTATAGAAACATGCACATCGAAATTCGATTTACTCATAACTCAATCATGTATTTTGTTTCTAAATATCATCAAGTATATTCGTGTGCATGCTTCACAATGATAAATACACGCGTGTTTATTAATCCGAATTTCGTTTGTGCTAGCTTGTTTCTAAAAGAAAGCCGTTTTGTTTATGTTGATTCTATTCGTGATAAACCACTTTTATAATCGCATATACACTCGATATACTCGCGAGTGATTTATACGAGTGAAACGAGTATATGGTTCGAGCCAATCGTCAGAGCACGCGCCTTTTATACCTCTGATATCGTGGGTTCGATTCCCGTTGTGGACGTTATGATATCCATGTGAAAAGGGTCAGTCAACGCTTTGCCGAAAGTCGTGGGTTTTCTCCGGGTACTCCGGTTTCCTCCCACAGGGAATGTTGACAAGGTTGGTTGGGATTAGCCCCTAAGCTGGGATTAACCCTAAACTAACCCTTCCATCGTAGCTGTGCTCCCTGATCAGATACGAGTCATAAGGTGGCTGCCAGAGGCGCCCCTAGAAAGCCTTCCACTCGATCACGTTGAGCTGTGTCCTTCGCAATTCAGCTGAACTCTCAGCCGCAAGTAAGGATAATAAGGACCCCCCACCACACACACACACACATACATTGTGTGAGTAGCGAGTCGAACGAGTACTCCAAGCACTCACGAATGATTTGCGCGAACTCGTGAGTCGAGTCTGTAGCGAAATTAAGCAAGGCTTAATGCAGTACGGGGACGTGACAAGAGACTAGGCTGTTGCGGTATTTGAAAAAACCGATACCTGAAAAAAATACCGATATTAAATACCGATATTTTTTCCCGATTGTATTTTGCTTAATTTTATGCAAAATTTGCTTAATTTTATGCAAAGGTTCTGTTTTCAGTTGATGCCAAACAGCCACGATATAACAGCTCTGACTCTTTCTTTGGGTGCGTGATATTTTCAATAAAGTGTGAGGCCAGTGATCAATAGCCTGTGAAATGTCCGCTTTAAGAATTGAAAATGCATATTACTTATTACCATTGTCCATTGATTACCGCACTGGATGAATCATGCATGTGTGATATTTTTGACCGGGAAATTTGTTTCAAAACATTTTATTCAACTGCGAATTCGAAACAAAGATCGTCCTATCTCACCAGATAAACAATGTCCAATGAGGTCAGTTAATAGTTTTTGTTTTCCTAAAACATTTGTAATCTATACCCTTGTTTACGTTCTAAAAGTTCATTTTTTGACAAGCGCGAAATTACATATTACACCTTGCAACGTATAAACAAACACATTTTAGCTCTCGCTCTAACCTTAATTTACGGATTTTACCGCGGAGTTAGCACATTGATCGTCTTTGTCCTTCTGAAATAACTCTAATCAGCGCTTGAAAAAGCTTGATATGACGTTTAAATATCAGGGCTGCAAATAATTATTTTACTTGGAAGGACAAATGTCTGGCCAAGGCAAAAATTGGTCGAATTTATCAATTTTTCCTGGACAATGGACAAAGTAAAATTTCTCTTTTTTAATTTCTGCCAGTTGCACAAAGGTGATGTAGATTTATAATTAAATCTTACGGTTTAATGCAGCAAGAAATAGTGGAGAAGTGCTGTCTTTTTTGCTTTCTTGTTGGTTTTATATTAATAAAAATGTGTTAAATAAACAATTTTTTGAGATTGGAGATTTGACCAGCCTAAATCGGTTGGTCACATGTCCGGTCATAAAAAGCTTTGATCGGACAAAATGTAAAATTTGGCCGGACAATATCCGATGACCGGCACTAATTTGCAGGCCTGAAATATACAAACGTAAACGTGATATCGACAATACCGAAAAATTTCGATATTCCGACAAGCATAGGAGTCGCAATATGGCGGAGAACGCTGTTAGTCAAGCTCTTAAAAAGATTGAAATCTTTGTTGAGGGCTTTCTTTCGTCCCCAAATGGTGATTCGTATGGACTGGTGGAGTATTTAGTCGCTGACGAGGGGAAATTAAAGTGGTTGGGCTCTCTGGAGGACTTGAAATTGTTTATAGAATCTTCGCTTCGCATCGACGGTAGATGGTCATCACCGGGTGGCAACGCCAAAAAATTTACGCTCAAATCAGTCGAACCTGATCAGCAGTTTGGCTTCGTTTGGTATTGCAGAAAGCAGAATACGATAGTGTTTCAGGGCGATCCTGAGAGCGTTGAAGCAGCGAAATCAAAACTTATATCGATTGCAAACAAACATGTAAACAAAGAGACTACATCGATCGCGGTGAGTGAACAGTTATTTGATCAGGTGGACCTACAAGCGCGTGGAGTTGATTGTGATGGTCCTGATCGGCGGGAGCAAGACCTGAACGTAACTTTAGTGGTTAATGAAGAGAGCCAGACTGAATATACTTCGGGTTTAATAAATGGATCATCGACTCAGTATGTATGTGCGTGTACATGTAGTCAAGGTGAAATTATTGCAGAAATAGAGGGTATTAAGCTAGATTTGGCGATCTTTAAGTCGCAGTCTTGTTTTGGTACAGATAATCAATATGATTCTTTGCAATCTAATATTAAGTCATTGCAATCTACACAGAAATCCCTTAAAAATATTATTAAAACTCAAGACGAGACAATAAATTCACTTCAACAAGAAATATTTGTATTTAAGTCCAAGCTTTTGTCCTTGGAAACGCTATTGTTTAATGTTAATCCTCAATTGAACGCTTCACTTGATCTTGATAGCCAGATACAATGCACTGCGAAAGTAAATCCCCAAGGGTCCAATAATGATGTTGGAAAGAGTAATTGCGAAATACTATTACCCACGCACTCGAATAATAATCAGTCTACCAACGAAAATCTACCATCTGAAAATTGTATGACGATTTGTAGTTCGCCAAAAAGTTATTTTAATATCAATGCTAATGACCCTTCTCCACTTGTGAGTGATGTTGTTCCTGTCCTACCTGCGAGTAATGCAGACTTAATG